AAGTAGCACAACCAGAAAACCTCGTGGCAACTATTTGTTGATAAGCGTCCTGTGATTGAATATTTAGCAAGTAGCTAAGTGGGGCAAGTAGGGACAAACGATCTCCGATTCCCCAAGGCACCGACGTGTTCGGAACAACCATGTGTGTAGAGTATCAAGTACAACCATGGTAGCAAGAACAATGAAAAAGGATTCTCCTAGAAGTTAACATAACTAGTAGCACATTGGGCAATACGCTGCACTTGCCGTAAGTGAAAGACCCGAAACAGAATACTGGGGAGTGCTAAAACAGATTGCAAAATGCAGCTAACAGTACGGAAGCACATACGCATGTATATATATATATATACATATGTGTGGCCGTGTGTTTCTCCAGTTACGGCAGCAAACCGAAAGCTAGCCCTGCAAAAAAATGCTGCGGCCGTGCGGTGGAAGGATTGGCATGTCAGCAAAGCGCAACCTCTCTGGGCTTTGGCGCCTGGGGGCACTCAAAAGTTTGCGCGATCGCGGCGCCTGTCTGGACCACGTTCGTCTAACTTTTCTCTATCTGGTCAGGCACAGACTTCGTCGCAAGCGCAGCACTTTCGCAGAGGCAGGTAGCCTTCGTGGCAGGCGCAGCGCTTTGGCAAGGTGAAGCGCAGCAGGTTCAGCGTCGTTCGGCAGGCGCAGGACTTTGCGCAGCAGTTTTGCTAGGTACAGTTTCGTTTCATCATTAGGGCCTCCACTGGGTTCCCCTCTACAGCTCCTACTGGAATGTTGAAGCTTTTTCGCTCCAACCAAAACAAAGTGACAAGGCAGAAGGTCTCTTTCTGTTAACATCCCAAGGTACAGATTAGTTTTTAACTTCCTTGGTGGGAAAACAAGAGCGCCTTCGCGAACAATTTTCTGCAAAGCAAAAGGGTTCCCGTTGCAACGCCCGTGCTGCACAACGTAGTCTGCGACAGCTCTGGCCGAGAGATAAAGATCAGTCGATAAATACACAGATAAACCGGGACAGGAAAGAGATAGATAGATAAACACAGAAGTAGATAGACCAATCGGTCGGTAGACAGGTAGGTAGATAAGAGATTGCGGGAAAGGTGGTTGGAGAGATAGATAGGTGTTCTTCTGCGTAAGCACGTCTGCGCGAACTCACACACGCTGAGCAGTCACCCACTGCAAGGGACTTAGGCACGCGTGAACCCTTCTCTCGTATGAGGGGAGGCTGGGAAAGATGAGAACCTCCGTGCCACGCTGGTCGGTGGAGCCTTCGAGGACATTCCGCCGCACTCGCTCCGGATCTTGTTGCGCGGGGGCCTAGAGCAGGCAGCCAAAGCCTGGTCACTGCGAGCAAGCTGGTTACATGCCAGCAATGCAATCTGACGTCTGAGCCGTGTTTTTTTCACGGTGTGGGGCCTGTGCGCTGGCAATGCGTGCCTACGCTGGGGCTACGCGGATTTTTCCTAGCAGTTCCACCGGTTGCGGGGCTGCTGCAAGCAAGTGGGCGGACGGGCCGTAAACTGCCAGTCATAGAGATAGAGCGCTACTGTTTTGATGGAGCACGGGCTTTTGAACTCCGGCGCCTTGAAGAGTTCCGAGGGGCGGGCGTCTGGCGCTCATACAGAAAGCGCTGCTCGCCGACGGATCCCTGGCCTTTGGCCTGGAAGGTTCAGGGATAAGTACGAGGAGGTTGGTCTCTCGGTCACCCTGGCAAGGCCAATGCCGTCCGGTTCTCTTTGGCGGCAAACAGGTCACTTAGGGATCGCTCAAACGGTTCACTTAGGGATCACGGTCACTTAGGGATACACGCTCACTTGAGGATCACATTCACGGATCACTTCGGGATCACATTCATTGATGGCAAGTTTGCCTACGCCTCCAGCGGCACTATCAGCCGCACGGCGCTTGCGGGCCCCACGGCAGGTTGGGGTACGAAGATAGGCAGCAAGAAAAGCAGCAGCAGGAAACGACCCGGCTGCCATCACCATATTCCCCGGTGTTGGATGCTTTGGCTGGTCGCACTTCAGGGATGTGCCCCAGCACTTGCAAACAACACCATGCACGAACAGACTTTCCTACAACCAACTAATTTGCACCCAGGCGCGCATGCCTGGACACGAACAGAACCGTGTGGGCTTACCCACCCGGTCCTTTGCACACCCAGTGAGTCGACGCACTGGACCAATGCCTCTACATGGGATACAATGTATGGGGACACTAATCCCTTTTGCACGACTGCCCAATTGCCACAGCAGTGGCGACACTCCTCACCCTGCTCGGCCTGTGTTGGCCAGGCAGCAGCAGCATGGACCGGCAGCACAACAGCACGGCCAGGCGGCATGGTAGCAAGCCAAAAATACGCACGAGCGCACGGAGCGCTTGCAAGCCTAAGCGCACACACGCTGCACAAAGCAGTCACGGATGGGACACCATCCTGCTTCTCCCACATGCGGCAGCAGCAGGAGGAAACAAGCATGGGTCTACGTTCGACACAAGACCCAACGGCGGCGGGCCAAGAAGC